CCCTGGAACAGCCCTGGGAATCTGGCATGTGACCTCTTGTCTTGGCCTGCGAGGCCCTGTGTTCTCTGAGGGGCCAGCTCTGCAATATGCTCTCAAGGTGTGGCCTAAATCAAACACATAAACAAAATCGAAAACAAGATAAAGCCTCAAAAGTCATCCTCACTGTGGCTCTTGCTTTCATGCCATAGCCTTTAGTCTTGGAACTGCCAGCTGTCTTCGTGCTGGGGCAGCTTTGTCTCTGCAGCTGTGGACAGAAAACACCTCTTGGACACAAAGAAATCACGCTTTACCCCAGGTCCTTAGCAAGGATGGAAGAGATCTTCCAGTGACATCTGGAGCTTCCCAGGATACTCCCTTCCTTGCTGAGTACCTCTGGGCATGAGCCTCCATCTCTTTCATTTTAATTAACCCAGTGAATCAGCCTCTGAGGGAAACTTTCCTGCCAAGTCCCGACTGAGTCCCTGTGACATGCAAGAACGTGGGCCAGGCTCTTGTGTAGGTTAAGGAAGTCCGAGGAGAGTGAAGATTATAGGGAGACAGTCTACCTTTCTTTACAAGGGCTTGTTTTGCATCCTGAAATCTCAGATTCAGCTATTACAATGAAGTCCTGTTATAGAGAGAGCTGGCCTTTTATCACCACTTAAAATCTAATTAATCCATATTGAAGCACAAAGATTTCTGTTGTCTTTTAGGGTGAGGGGTCACAGAGCCCTCATTGTTCATCCTTAGACTTATAATCATCGAGCATTGGGGATATAATTTTACTAAGCAAATTGGAAAGTAACAGATCAAATCCTTATCAGAAAGCCTAACTCATAGTTTTAACAGAGTCCTTCGTCCTTTACACGAAACATTATATTCGAGAAGAACAAAAACGCATTTCAGAGTGCCCAAGGAGTTAATGACCAAAGCTTATATTCCAGGCAGCATAGAACCAAAACCGTCACACTACTGTCAACCACAAAGACAGTGGTTCCTATAGGGGTGACAAGAGTTGCAAGATTTGTTGCAATGGCTTTAGTCTTTAGAGTGGCAATGCAATTTGTTGGACTTTTAGCGTCTTTGCTGGGATGGGTTTTATCCATTATTACAACTTATCTGCCACATTGGAAGAACCTCAATCTGGACTTAAATGAGATGGAGAACTGGACCATGGGACTCTGGCAAACCTGCGTCATCCAAGAGGAAGTGGGGAGGCAATGCAAGGACTTTGACTCCTTCCTGGCTCTG